GGCAATTATCGTTCACCCTCATGCTTAAGTTCAGTTTTATTAGATTATTTGGCAGCACGGTGGCTCAGTGGTTAGCACCGACGCCAGCAAGAAAGTCTTGGGTTCAATCCCTGTTTCGGACCTGGGGTCTTTCTGTGCGGCGTTTGCTTGCTCTTCTCGTGCTTGCGTGGGTTTTCTCCGGGTACTCTGGTTTCCCCCACCCCTAAAACCATGTGCAATAGAATAGGTTGCCTTCAATCTCAGGCCTCCCTGAAAAAGAGATCTGAGATCTCAATGGGACTTGCCTGGTTAAGTAATGGTAAATAAATAAGATACAGCTCACGAAYCCAGGGGGGTCCTGSGACCCCAKTTTGAGAARCTCTGCTCTRTAGCACAGGGATAGACAACTTCAATGCTGGAAAGGGACACAATTTTTTGTMGACACTATCAGAGGGCCACATAGCATGTTTACCCAAATATAATAAAACTGCACTTTTAAAAAYGTTTATACTTTTTTAAACCAACATACAGTAACTTAAATCAATGCTCAAGTGCAAGTATAAAGTGGTACTCTTGTAAGTTAGTAAACTTTATTGATATAGCATCTTTCACAGGTCAGAAACCACAAAGTGCTTTACAAGAAGACATAAAAACACAAGAGATAAAACAGGATAGATAAAATGAAACATACATGCGATAAAAATGTTACATGTGTTGGAAAAAAAAAATTAATTAAAAGCCAATCTGAAAAAATGTGTCTTCAGCTGCTTTTGAAAATTTCAAGAGAATCAAGGCAGTGCATTCCACAGCCTGGGGGCCATGACCCTAAAGGCTTTATCCCCTCTAGTCTTGAAATTAGTCTGTGGAACCATTAACAACCTTTATTAAATATGAACACAAAATGTATGAAACAAGCAAAAATACACTTACTTTAGCAGCAGTATAAGAAGCCTTAAGTTCAGACTCCTGTAAGGTTCTGGTTCTGGAAAAAAGTCTCTGTTGTTTATGCACTTATGATTTGAGGTCAGCTATGATAGCAGCCCTTGTGACTTCAGTATGCTCTCATATTTAGCTTGGTGCAACGTGTCGTAGGGGTGACGTATTAAAATGCAAACAGCATCTCTAAGCAGACTAAACACAAGGGTTTGCCTTGAAATTCTGTAAACAGATTGTCAACCTCCCAAAATGAAAACAATTGTAATCGACGTCCTGATGCATCTCAGTAATCCAGGTAAAAAAATCAAAAGAAAAATTTTTTATAGGTCTTCTGGACGGGTTCTTCTCTAATGAAACGTTTCGTCTCTCCTCCAAGAGACTTCTTCAGTCTGAGAGTTTCAGGCAAAATTCAGGCTTTTAAGCACTGCCTCCATGTGACTGATACTCACATCACATGGCTATCATTGACACCTAATTAACACCTATTGTTAACAGGGGGTGGAGTGATACTGGCAATAGCCGCGCTGTAGGAGGGGGACAACTGAAAACGGAGGCCTCCACCTCTGTTTAATGATGGACGGTCTTTCTTCACAAAAATGGCTTCTTTTACTCCTCTCTCAAACCAACGTTCCTCTGTATCAAGAATGAGAACATCCTCATCTCTGAAAGAGTGACCGCTGGCCTGTAAATGAGTGAAAAAAGCTACATCTAACGGCCAGAACTCTGCAGTTTTCACTCATTTACAGGCCAGCGGTCACTCTTTCAGAGATGAGGATGTTCTCATTCTTGATAGAGAGGAACGATGGTTTGAGAGAGGAGTAAAAGAAGCCATTTTTGTGACGAAAGACCGTCCATCATTAAACAGAGGTGGAGGCCTCCGTTTTCAGTTGTCCCCCTCCTACAGTGCGGCTATTGCCAGTATCACTCCACCCCCTGTTAACAATAGGTGTTAATTAGGTGTCAACGATAGCCATGTGATGTGAGTATCAGTCACATGGAGGCAGGGCTTAAAAGCCTGAATTTTGCCTGAAACTCTCAGACTGAAGAAGTCTCTTGGAGGAGAGACGAAACGTTTCATTAGAGAAGAACCCGTCCAGAAGACCTACACAATTTTTTTCTTTTTAATTGTAATCGACTTTAAAAAGCAATCTTAAAGCAGGTCTTAGATTCTAAGAGCTGCTTTGAGTGCTTTTTTAAGTTAAAAAAATGAGGGGCCTCATTAAGCCTATCACTGCTCTAACAATTGGAGAAAGTAATTTTCTTTAAAACATATTTTGTCTTGTAAAATAAAGGAGTAATTTATCATTCATGTCATTTTATACTTTTGAAGTTTTTCACAATTTCCTCTTTTCCAACTCTGTCTTGATTTAAAATACTTTCACAAAGTGTTTTTTTCCTCTCTAGGGTGTCAAGCCTGGAGGGGTTGTCAGTGGCCAGGTTCGTATGCCCATGGTCATCACGCAATCAATCAGACCGCAAGGTGAGGACATGTTTTGAACTTCCCCAATCATATTTGACCTTGCTCAAGCCTTCTAGTTTCTTTCAGGGTAAAAAGAAAAAAAAGGCATTGTGTACTACTCTGATATATTCATGCAAAGGATGAAAGCTGGTTTGGAAATTTTGACATTTTTCATGCTGGCTTCTTAATGAAACAAATCCACCACGCTCAGCCTGTTTGTTAGAGAAAAAACAAAGAAGAAAAACCCCAGCAAAATAGATTAAACATGAGATTAGTGAAACTGTTGTGTTYCCTCTGCTGGAAGATGTGTAAACAGGCAGGAGCCATAGAGAGAACAGGTGTTTTTTCCCCCCTCGTCTGGTTATAGAGCCTTCTCAAACATTTGCGTGGTTGCTTACTCACACTGATTCACAAACACTCTTCCCACAGAAGCCCACAAATATCGCCCTAACACCAACCGAGTATAATGCTCCCCTAAGAGGACTGTGTGCTCTCAAGTGCTATGTGTGTGTGTGTGTAAAACGTGTGTATGTGTTTGTACCTGATTTTGCACAAGTGTGTGTGTGTACCTACAATCGGAGGTGCATACAAATTTGATCTACCCCCTTCCCCGAGTTTGCCTGCAGTGAAAGATCTGTAAGTTGTTTTATGCCCATAAATTGGAATGCGGGGATAGTTCTAAAAATACTTTTCTGCGCCTCTTGGCTAAGAACATGCCTGTTAAAATCAAGTTTAAATTCACTCTGGCAGTCCCTGTGCCTCTCTGGAAAACGTGTCTCGGAGCAGGATGCGGTTTAGGAGTGTAAGGAGAGCCGGTGAAGCGCAGTGATATTGACAGAGCGACGCTCGCTGCAACCAACCTGGGGAGAGCAACAGTACTGTCTCCCCCCCCCCAAGAAAAAAAAAAAAGTCTTCCCCTGTAAGGGTAGTAGAGACAGCTGAAGGTGGTCATTAGACTGGAGGATATCTGATGCAGATAGACGGGGACACTTCAATTATAACATTACTTCTTTTCTTTTTATTTAATGTTTTCTTCTTTTTTTGTCCCCTCTCCTTCACAGGCACAATGGGAAAGGGAGCCATCATACAAACAGGCAAAAGTCCGATGTGCCTGCCTGTTCAGATTTCTGGGAATCAGAAAAACAAGCTCAACGACCCAGGAGGAGGCTCTTTCAGGTACAACCTCTTTTGCCAGGAGAGAGCGTGCCGTTCTGAGCTGCCGCCACATGAGGGCAGCATTTCTCTAAGCAGGTTCTCCATGACTACAGGCTACACTCTCAGCTAAGGCTACGAGTGTTTATCTGAGCTGGCTGCCTGCCTGGCCGGCTGGATGATTGGTGGTCCTTTCTTTCTGCGCCCACCTCWGAGCATCCTACCAATAGATCACCCTCACACTTGCCCTCCTTGTGTCAGTGTCACATGTCATCGACGGTGTTGCAAATGAGCTAAATCCTAATTTAGAAAAAAAGATAATTGTACCCAGATGGTTGGAATTTCACAATGCGGCTCTGAAAATACCTTTTGGTTTAATCAGATGTGCAGCATTGTGCCCGCAGCTTGGCTCTCTTGTTTCTTTCTGGTCTTGCCTCTGCTTCTGCTGGGCTTTTGTCTCGAAACGCAAAAAGATTCCTCGCCCACATGGTGGCCCTTGTGCTCTGTGATGTGTGTGAGTCTTTGCATGTTTTTTGCATTTGTGCAGCGTTTAGTTTGTACCTATATGTTTACAATCTGTCTATTGTGCCTGTGTTCCTGCTCGGGTGCACACATATGCTTATAATCTGAGAAGTCATGAATATCTGTGGCTTGGTTGACAGGAACGGGAGGTTTAGGGTGACCCCTCTGTGACTGGGCCAGGGCAAGGAGAGTCTGGGTCATATGGGCTAACGGGTTCATAGTAATAGCTGCTGTCTCCTGAGGGGAAAGGCAGGGGCCCCAGGCTCTGATTGATAAACCAATAAATCTTTAGCTGCGTTGGTAATTAAGCTGTCAGGCTCGCTTGTTACTGACAACCTTTTCTTCCCTGCGGTGATCACAGTGGCCCATCACACACAAACACACTSGTTTCATCATAAACCCAATAATGCACGACACCAGTGTCCTAAAAGAAACATGTCATGACATCAGAGAGCATATTTTAATTTAATTTAGTTGGATTTGTGTGGGATTAAAGTTTACACATTATGATTTTCCTTAAAATAGCTCTTATTTTCATCTAAATATTTATCTTGCATTTACTATTTTCTTCTCATCAATCAACACAAACTTGTTAAACATGGTTGAGGTTACAGTTTATCTTTAAGTTGGATGTATCAAGCTGTATTACAGCTGTTGCTGTGCAGTTAATCAGATTTAATTTCCAATCACAAGTTTTTCATCCAACAATTCCAGGTAAAAAAAAAATATATAACTGAGATAAAACAATTACTGTGCTGCAGTTTGTTTTGCAGTGATGCTCTCATTTTGTCCTGTGTTATAAATCTAACACATCAGCGCGCCTTCAGCCCGCCCTGGAAGCCTAAAAACGATCCGCCTGCAAGGTTGATCAATTCAGCTCAAACTAAAATGATGGAAACGTAGCTTTGGGTCAACACTTTGTTTTAAGGAGCGAGAGAAGCACAAATACATGATTTATTTTTGTTTAAAAAAAAGAAAAAAAACAGTGAACGCATGATTTGAATTCTAAAGTCAGAGAGAAATGATGTTGAATAAATCAGATCGTCACATTGATCAAAGTCGTCATGATTCAGAGTTTTTGTGTCATGAAAGTTTGAGACACCAAGTGTGAAACTACAACAGAAATGTGATGTAAGCTGATGTCCATCTGCAGGTTGCGTGTTCACAAAAGTCATGAAATTAAATGTTTTATGCTAATCAGTTGTTTCAGATGGCTGCATTTCCATTGTTTACAGATATGCAATTCAGGTTGTTGATTCTAAATTAGAGGTGCAATACGTTTGAAAAAAGCGTGTCGTTTTTGCCTTTTTATCTGGGCGTTAAGTCTCATCTAAGCTGTTCATTTTTGCTGTTCTGCGTATATAAATATCCTACAACAGAGCAGTGTTACAGTATGATTCATCTGATTATCTTCAGAACTTATCCAAAGGAGACTGTGTTTAAACCATCACATCATGTGCTTTCATAGTTATAAAAATGAAAGTACTAGTAGTGTAGCAAAAAAAATGCAGATTAAAATCAAATGTGTGAAAGTGACCTAAAAATGCTTTTTATTTATTTAGTATTTAATCTAATATTAACCACTCACGTTGACAGTAAAGACCAAAAAACGATTAAACTCATGGCTGGTCAGTCAGCATCACCAGCCTCTCCTCCAGCCAGGCTGCATTGTGTTCAGCTGCAGTCTGATGTGTGTGTAACTGTCACTCTGATCCGCTGGTCCCAGCGGGCCAGCTGTAGCACAAACACACACTGCAGGGCTTGTGGGGTTTCCAATGTAGCTACAGCCTTCTGTGTAAGTGCTTGTGTTTGTGTTTGTGTGTGCCTCTCTCTCTCTCTGTGTGTGTGTGGTTTACAGTGCAGAGTGAAAGCAGCTGTCTTTGTGCCCCCCTTCCTCCCTCTCCTCCCCTCATCCTCTCTCTGTAAACACTCAACATCCGCTGTAATCACTGGCGAGCCAGCCGGGGCCCTCAGCCTTTTGCCAACCGCCAAGCTCAGCCTCAGTCCCCGCAAGTCCAACTCCATCCAGCGGGGCGGACAACTGCTCGYGTGCATTAACAAGCTGAACGGGGAGAGGCGCAAAGATTCAAGGCTAGGAGAAAAGTTTTGGTCGAGCAGTTATTCTTGCCAAGTTATTTAACAGTTTACCAGCTCCTCTCCATGGTTGTGCTCCTGTGGTTACATCGTTTGTGGGGTTGTGTTTTGCTATGTGATGAGGCTAATTTGTGAAAAAGACATTTATGAATAAATTTGTCTCAGTCAGAGAAATAAACCTGTGGACTTGGGAACGCAGTAGATGTAAAATTAGATCATGTTTGAACTGGATGCTGTGCCACAATGAAGATGTTCAAAAATCCTTTAAGAGAATGGTGCCATTCAAGATAGACACATAAATAATAAATTAGGGCTGCATGATATCGGGAAAACCTGCAATACGTGATAACTGAGCTTAATATTGCAGTGATGATATGACTTATAATAAATGCACAAATACATACAGGGGTTAGACAAATGAAACTGAAACACCTGGTTTTAAACAATAACGTCCCTTTCAGACAGCTTCCTCTGGCGTCCACAGTTAATCCTGTTGGATGTGGTTCATCCTTCTTGGTGGTATGCTGACATTACMCTGGATACTGTGGCTCTTGATACATCACAAAGACTTGCTGTCTTGGTCCCAGATGCACCTGCAAGACGTGCACCAACAATTTGTCCTCATTTGAACTCTGGTATGTCACCCATAATGTTGTGTGCATTGCAATATTTAGAGCAAAACTGTGCTCTTACCCTGCTAATTAAACCTTCTCACTCTGCTCTTAATGTGCAGTTAAAGAAGATTGACCACCAGGCTGGCCCAATTTAGCCATGAAACCTCCCACACTAAAATGACAGGAGTTTCAGTTTCATTGGGCCTCATGCAAGAACCGTTCGTACGCACAGATTTGTTCTTAAGTTGTGCGTACGAGTGATTTAGGAGAATTTGTGGCATTCACCAATGTAGTGTTTACGCCCATTTCACCTCACCTCATCTCGCCACTGGTTGACCTTTGACCACCTGAGGTCAAAGCC